AATTCATATGGAGTTTTCTTTAAAATATGCCTAATCATTACTCAATTAATAACATAACAAGCGATATTTGTGGCTTCCGCCCAAAAATATTTTGGCAAATTGTTTTCACAAAGCATGATTCAAGCCATTTCTTCTAAAGTTTGATTTTTCCTCTCAACAACTCCATTTTGTTGAGGGGTTATAGGTGTTGAAAAATTATGGCTAATACTATTAGAATTACAAAAATTAGTAAATCCAAGATTTTCAAATTCAGTTCGATGATCACTCCTAACACTAGTTATAGAGTAACTTTTTCGTTTTGGATTATTTTTTTTTTTGAAAACGTGATGAATTTTTCTAATGCTTCATCTTTAGTACTTAAGAATAGAACCCAAGTATATCTAGAATAGTCATCTACCAAGACAAATGCATATTGTTTTCCACCCAAGCTAGTAGTCCTAGCTGGCCCAAAAATATCTATATGGAACAATTGTAATACTCTACTAGTTGATACATCGTTAATGGATTTTAAAAGAAACTCGTTTCTGTTTTCCTTTAGCACAAGCATCACATATTTTATCAATATCAAATTTTAGCTTAGGCAAACCTCGAACTAAATTTCCTTGAATTAGCCGTTGCAAAACACTCATACTAGCATGTCCTAGTCTCCTATGCCATAACCAACTATCATGCTCATCCTTAGCAACTAGGCATAAATTAGTCATAACACTAGAGTCTAAATGCACCATGTAAATGTTTCTTATTCTATAACCAACAAGCATAATCAAAGTAGATGCAATGTCAATCAATTTTACAAACATTTAATTTAAAAAAAACATTGTATCTTTTGTTAAATTCATCTAATCGGATTATGCTTTAATCCACTCACATACAAAACATTATGCAATGTTGATTATCGAGATTAAGAGCACATGCATAAAGTTTTTGAAAATGTTATGCATTAAAACTTTATAATATTTAAACAAAAATCTATGCATAATCATTAAGAAAAATTTAAGGTCAAAATTTTGTAAAACCAAAGTTCTTGAAAAATCGATATAAATTGTTAAAGAGATATCAATTACATTTTTAAAACAATTTTGACCAACAATTAATACGATGAACTAGAGTTTATAAAAATATTACCAAAAATTACTATGTTCATCATACAATATTTTTCAACATACATGAGATAAAACATAATTATTCAACATTTAAAAAAACCTCATGCATGCATAAACTAAATGAGCAACCAAATAAAATAAAAACATTAAGTTCGGAGGTTACTCATTCCTTTTTTCATGTGTGGCTAGAGCATCTTGAATATCATCATCTTCATCACCATTTCTCCCACACACCTACAAGTGACATTTAAGTACATTTTGGTATCCAAATTATTTTGGATCCTTGAACATTAGTTTCAATGCCTCTTGTTCCTTTTGGAACCCATACTTGTCTAATTTTAAATCGTTTTCCTTTCTTTAAAGGACAAGTATGTTCCTTATGACCATGATAATGACAATGTAAACATATTGCCATTATTGAACTAGATGAATTATTTAAAATGATATGATTTTCTTTTGTTAAGCATTCAAGTTTAACTTTCAAATCAAAATTTTCTTTTTCAATACTTTCAAATTTCATTTTTCAAAGCTCTAAATTCTTCTTCAAGAGTTCATTTTTTTTTTCAAATTCCATTTTCGTTTCTAGAAGAAGTTTGTTTAATTTGAAAATTTCTTTTTCAAAGTTTTTAGATTTTAGTTTTGAAAGCTCCAACTCCTTTTTCAACATTTCATTTTTTTCCCAAGTCTGTTTTAGCTTTCAAAAGAAGATCATTTTTAGTTATAAATTTAGAAATCAAATTCCTATATTTGGAGTTCATGGTATCAAACTCCGAAAATAATTTATCATAAGCATCTTGTAACTCATTAAAAGATTTTGAATTTAATTTATTTGAGTTAGAAGATACCTTTGGCTCTGTGAGAGCTAATAGAGATATCACCTTTGTTGGTTCTTCTTCTTCCTTGTCTCCATAGATCTCCTCAAGCTTATCCCATATTTCCTTGGCATTTGAACAAGAAGAAATTCCTTTATATACATTAGGATCAATTGCACAACATAACATGTGCATAGCCTTTTTGTTTTGTTGAGCTTTCTTCCGTTCTTGATCACTCCACTTCTTTGCCTTCTTCGTAGGAGAGGAATATCCTTTCTTGATTATCATCTAATCTTCCATATCAAATGATTGGATAAATATCATCATAAACCTCTTCCAACGACGATAATTTATTCCATTGAAGTGTGGAGGCACGTCAATTGGTCTGGATTCTTCTATGGAGAATGAACTGGAACTGGACGCAATCTTTATCGATTTAACTCTTCTCGAATCGACTCAAGAGGTGGTTAAACCTTCAAATGAGTGAGGCTCTTATACCAATTGTTGAGTTAATCGATTGATGGAATCGACCAAGAGAGGGGTGAATTGGATTTTAAAATTTTGGTGGAAGCTTTTGCAGAAAACTGAAAAAAGATTTGCATAGCGATTTAGAGTAGTTCGACTTTCTCAACCAAAGTCTACGTCCACTACCTTAGCTATCCACAATAAGGATTTTCCAACAAATTCACTAATTTGTTCTTTCTTTTGAGGCCAAAGAGATAACCTTACAACACCCTCAAGAATATACCCCAATTCTTGATAACACTCTTTCTCAAAGAGAAGATTACAAATTTGCAAACTTACAAGAAAATCCTCACAAGGTAGATTGTTTGCACAATTCTAGAACAAAGAAAAGAACACTAAAAAATGAATACAATTGAGTACAAGAAATGTTCTTGAAAGCAAAATGAATATTGAATGAAAAATAGGCTTGAATTGCTCAAACAATGAGTTTGATGCTTTCTCTTTGATTCTCTCTTGATTCTAGTTGCTTGTTGTTTCTTGTTATTGATCAATGGCTTCTAAGCTTGTTTAAATACACCTTCAAATGATTTTAAACGTTGGGGATGATTAGTGGAGTCAATAGAATCGTTTAAGTGTGAAAATAATTAATGAAAGTGGATGGGAGCGTCAGTGCATCGATGCATACCCTAGGTGCATCGGTGCATCAATGTAAAATTCAAATATTTTGACCGTTGGACTCTCAGTGCATCGGTGCACTAAGAGTGCAACGATGCATAAAATGCATTCGATGTTTTGAAAAAGCCTGAGTGCATCGATGCATCAAATGCACTGAGTGCATCGATGCATCAAATGCACTGAGTGCATCGATGCATGGTATGTGCATCGATGCATAAAATGCATTCGATGTTCAAGAAATTAATTGATGCATCGATGCATGGATTGGTGCATCGGTGCATGCCTTTGAAAAATTGATTTTAGGCTTGATTTTGGTTCAAAATACATTGTGAAAATTTGTTTAAAAATAGTTTAAGTATAAAACACAAATTTACACATTTAGTAAGGTTTAAAATTGATCTTGAAAGACTTGGAGTAATAATTTGATATTCGAGTAATTAAATCGAATATACTTTAGAAAATCATTTGCAAAATCTTAAAATTCATTTAACTTAATTTGTTATATCAAAACATCAAAATATTTTCAACATACACAGAAGAGACCAACATTAACTTATTCATACATTTACCAATATTCACATGTTCCATAAAGCATAAAGAGGTAGTAAAATATTACCTCAATTTTCGTGCAATACTGATCGATCATAAAAATTCTATTAGAACGCCCTCAATCTTGAAATCATCTTCCAATATGACTTTTCAAAAATTTAGAATTTTCGGTCAAAATCAAAGTCAACGGGTTTGACTGGAAATTTTGAGGTCTTCGGGTCCGAATTTCGAAAAACGAACTGCGGAATCAGATTTGGAACGTCGAAAAATGTCAAGATAGGTATACTCGGTCAAAGTCAAAGGTCGTTTAATGCTCGGTCAAAGCCAGTCAAAGTTCTGGTCAAATGTGGTCAACACCGGTCAACAGTAAACAGTCGACCATTTTACACAAATATCACCCTATTCTGCAAATATTTACGAAACTAACACCCAAATTTTACACAAATAGCACTCAAACATAATTTAATTACAAAATTATCACCCAGACAATGCCCACTCTCGGGGGATGGCGCGTGCGGCACGTGAACAGTAACCCAGAGTCGGAAAATTCCCGGAAAAATTTCTAAAAATTATTTTAAGCGATTTTGAGGCACTTACAAAGCTCGGTTCACAATTTTGAACGGCGAAGAGCTCGATTCCAAAACGTCAAAAACTTTGACGGTCTCACCCCTCCACGAGTCGGCGACGATTGAGAAACGGAGAACACCAGTGGACTCTGAACGATGCAGGGAACACGATGGTACGGGAGGTGTCGTAAACGGATGACCGGATCGTCGTGAATTGACGAAAAACCAACTGAAATCGAGTTATTACCAACGATACTTACGAATGAAATTAACGACGAACGGTGACGATTCACGACGAAAGCTTTGAGGGTTTTTGTTCCTCGGTCGACAACGAACACGATGGTGATTTCGATTCGTCGATCGGAGGTCGAACGACGAGTAGATCGGAGTTGAAAGTAGGGTTGTTGGGGAAGGAAAAACTGGAAAATGTCTCTAACGGGGAGAGTTTATAATTCTTTCCTATAGAATATTGGCTAAATTAATAGTTTAGCCACTAAAATTCATGCACTTCTTAAAATGGTATGTTAACTTTTCAATTTTATAACTTAATCCCCAATTTCTTCCAAAAATACCAATTAAATTCACCCTTATAATTTCTTAAATTTAGCCCCTAAATTGGGATATTATACCACGGATTACCTATTTATGCTTCCAACAGATTCATTCCACCAACAGGTCATATTTAATACTATCTTGGTCAGATTCATTTACAGAAGAACTAATGGCATATAAGCAGGGACGGAATGAGGGGCTTCGGGTGCGGTCGTATTTTTATAAATTTTAAATTCTCTTGTATTTTAGGTATTTTTTTACATTTTATATTGATTATCTTATTCTGCATCTTGAAGAGCCATCCTGTTCAACTTCGGACAATCTTGTACCGAGATTTTATCTAGAGAATCACAAATCATCACTCCCTCAGCACAGCAAATGCACCTCAATTCAGGTAGATGTTTCAACAACAGTACCCTTAATCGTGGAAGATGAAATTCCATGGTAACCATTCCTCTTTCCTCAGCTTCAACATCTGATGTTATTATTTCCTACAACTGCTCACAATTACAAATTCTAAGCCTTTGTAAATTCGGCGGCACACGGTTCTGAGAGAACAACTTTTTCATTTTCTGCAATCATTATATAAAGAAGCTTAAGAGAAGAAAAGCAGCCAATTGAGAAGAAGATAAACCTGGAGAAAAGCAGATATTTCACTACACAATCAACACTGCAATCCCAAATATGCAATCCTTCAAGGTCTCGTGGAAGCATAATCCAATAGTTATAGATATTACAACGGCTATGCAAATGTTTTAACCTTAAGAAAATGCTAATTGATTTATCAACAACAAAAAATGCAAAAACTAAAATATTGGTCATGAATGAGGTATGTATAATATTATTGTAACTAAATAATAAAATGAGGAACGATCGAGTCAAATATAAATAATTAATAGAGTTTGAATTCATCAAATTAGGCTTCGCTTAAATAAGAAAATAAAAACACTGCCAATGTTACAAACTCAACTGCTCCCTTTGATCCTCCCTTTACCTTTTACCAAAAGCTCACGAAGGGGTCCAAAAGAGACTTGGGTTGGGGACCATCCCATTCCACTGATTCCCACCACTTCTTTGGTCTTATCCGAACTGAAAGATAGAAATTTGCAGATGCAGATGCAGATGGTGGGACATTATCAAGTTTGGGAACATTAAGACTCATCCTTTTTAATCTTGGACAGTTTTCAATCCCAATTTCTCCAAGAGAATCACAAACCAGTACTCCACCAGCACTGCAAATGCTCTTCAATTCCGGTAGATCACTCAACCACAATAGCCGTAATTGTGGAAGATGAAACTCCGTGATAAACATTCCTCTTTCCTCCTGTTCAACTTCTGATGTTATTATTTCCTCCAATTGCTTACACGCACCAACACTGAGCTCTTGTAAATTTAGCGGCACACAGTTTGGGGAGAACAACTTTTTCATATTCCCACAATCATACATATCAAGACATTTAAGAGATGAAAAGGAGCCAATTGAGAAGAGGATAAACCTGGAGAAAAGCGGGTATTCTTCACTGCAATCAACATTGCAAAATTTAAAATCCAATACCTCAATGTCACGTGGAAGCACAATCTGGTAGTTATAGATGTTACGACCTCTTACAACAATTTCTTTACTTGCATCTTCATGAAGCATAGATATCTTGCATCTCCCACATAGATTATGTATTTACGAGGCTCTTCTCGGCCACGACAAGCTTGGAGATACATATTTAAGTCGTGCCAGTCGTAAAACCTCCCTTCAAGAGTTCCGTGCAGTTTCTTCAATCCACCAACCTCCTTTCCATTTATCAGAGTCCCACCTACGATCAATTCATGAAGACAACAAAGTCTTGAAAGTACTCCATTCGGGATTTCCTTGATCTTTGTTCGTCGAAGATCCAACTTTTCTAAAACTCCAAGATTTGACAACGATGGAAAATTCCCTAAATCTTCACAATCAGCAAGCAACAATGAAGTGAGGTTCTTCAAATTTGATAAGGAATGCGGAAGACTCTTAATAGGATTGAAGGAAAGATCAAGAATCTTGAGTTCATTCGTATCATCGAAGAAGCTTTCTGGAATACTTTCTATAAGACAATGACAAAACAACAATGTTGTGAGCCAGGGACACTTCGACAAGGAAATTGGAAGACTCTTGATAGGATTTCTGGAAAGATCAAGAACCTTGAGTGCATCCATATGCTTGAAAAATCGTTCTGGAATACTCGCTATTGCATTGAGACAACAACAATGTTGTGAGCCCGGGACACTTCGACAAAGAAATTGGAAGACTCTTGATAGGATTTCTGGAAAGATCAAGAATCCTAAGCCCATGCATATGCTTGAAGAACCCTTCCGGAATACTCGCTATATCACAATCAGACAACAGCAATGTTGTGAGCCTGGGCACTTTGGGGGTGACATTTCCAAGGGTATATATAACCGCCAATTCCTCATCAACGAAATTTTCTCTAGATTCATGCTCCATTCTTGCACATCTGTGCCTTTTCTAACATTGTGCCGGCTTTTACCAAGAATCGAGATTTTGCAATACGCAATGCCATGTCCCTTAAAAGATCATGCATCTTTACACGTCTTACATGTTCTCCTTCAGTAAAAACTTCTAACAAACAATTGCTGATGAGTCTATTCATTATTGAACGACCATTGTCATACTCTGCCTGCATGCTATCCATTTCTTCCACTAGCCCTTCTCCGATCCAAAGTTGAATAAGACCTTTTTCTTCAATTTCCTCATCTTCTGGATATAATACACAACTGAGGAAACATTCTTGAAGTTTTGGATTCTTTAAACGATCATAACTAAATTGTAATGGTTGGAACACTTCTTCTTCGAATCCATTAACACTCGCTTTGCGTAGCTTTAATTCTTCTCGTGCATTCCTCCATTCCGAGATTTCATCAATGCCCTTCATACAAGAAGCTATAGTAATTATTCCCAAGGGCAAACCTGCACAACGGTTAGCATTGATCTTGCAATTGGTTCCACCTCTGGAATATTGAGAATATCACAGCCCACCTTCTCTAAGAACAACTCCCATGCCTCTTCTTCCATCAGAGGCTTCACTTTAATAATTATACAACCCATTTGTCGACACACATCTTCTTTTCTTGTTGTCAACACTAATTTAGCCCCATTTGACGGCTCAGGATTTCCTATTCTCTCAAGTGAAACCTTCTGCTCAGGAATTCCTATTTCTCAAGTGAAACCTTCTCCCATAGGTCATCCAAGATCATCACAAACCTACTCTTTTGAGATAGTGTTTCAAAGATAATCCCTGCCCTTGTAGTTTCATCTTCATCACCGTAAAATTCTACTCCAATTTTACTAGCAATGTCTTTCTGCAGTTTAGCAATACTCATCTCGTTGGATACAGTGATCCAAATCACAGTATCGAATTTCCCTGTCTCTTTTAAGAGTTGGTTGTTTATAACCTTCATGATGCTTGTTTTCCCCACGCCACCCATGCCCCAAACTCCAATCTTTTGAACCCCATCATCCATCAAGCATGCCAATCTTTCAACACAGGCCTTTACAGCTTCACCTGATAAATTTGTTGTCGATAAAACTTGTCCGATCCATTGAGGATTGACAACCACCAAACCTACATGAAATCTACCCTGTTGAGTAATAAGTTCTTCAACTTCCTTCATACTCTTTGACACATCTTCTCTGTGAAATCCACGTGTAAAAGCATTGCTTTCACCAATTCTTCCCTCAAGGACTTGCACTTCGCCATTGACTCTTTCAACATTTTCAAACCATATTTGGACTTCCACCTTGGGTTTCTTTCTCGGATGCAGCTCTGTTCTCTTATAGATTCTGTGTCTTTCTTCAAACCATCAATTCCTCCAATTTCCTTTTAAGGTTCTTCCGATGGATCAAGGCTTCTATGATTGTCCAAGTGTTTATCTTATTCAGAACAAAGTCCATGGCTGCAAGTCACAAGCAATATGTTAGAAACTAAATAATAACGCATCATTAGGTGAATGTATCTAAACATGACTAAAAATATTTCATTTTACTCTACAAAAATGTTTAAGAAACTATATAGATAAATCAAGAAGTTTCACCCTCTCACGAATAATCAATTAAATTAAACAGAAATTTAAGAGAGTGAAATTTCAAAACTTCAAGGCATAAAATTAAATCATGAATAAAAAAATACAAAAAAAATCTGAATTATAAGATACTTTTTGGGTACATGGCTGTCTATAAACAAAATTTAACAATAAATTTAAGGTCTATTGACATAATGAATAATCAAATGTCTTTTTTTTTTATAGTTGACAAAAAAATTAATGAATGATCCTATGAATCGACCTCAATAACTAAGGGGAGTTTTGTTCTCATTAAAGGTATTGGGTTCGAGCAGTTGCGTTTATAAATATGTGCGTTGTCATTAATTAAAAAAAGATTATGAACATCTTGTAATCACCCAGACTATTTTTAAAAATTAATGTTGGTTTATCTTTTTGTTATCAATCATTTATTACTACTAATACTATTTATCTGGCATATCATTTACAATATTCAATCTTAATGATAATGAAATTTCTTTCATTCTTTGCTATTATGTTTTCTATTAATTTCTGATTATAAAAATAAACTAATAATTTATTCTTAAATATTTCCGATATCGAAAACATGCAAATTAACAATCTAATGCAAAAATTGATATAATTGTAAACTAAAAGTGATGTTACAACAATTAAATAATTTATAAGGGTATTTAAAATGATTTAGCAAAACATTTTTAGTCCAATTAATCAAAATTATATTTAATTTACATTTTAATAAAAATCTATATATTTCTTTTAATGAAAAAGAAAAATACTAAACGAAAACTAAGTTAAATTCCAAGCATAAGGAAATTATCATTAACAAGAAAAAGGAAAATTTAATCTTAAAATAATATAAAGGAAATAATTTTAATTAAACATTTTATGAGAGTATTTTAAAAGAATTAAAAAAAAGTATTAACATTTTAGAACACAAATCCTATATATTTGTAGGGTATACATTATTTAACTATTGTCAGATTTCATTTTGACTATTGATGTTTGATTTAACCAGTCATACCACTCAATTATTTAAATGCTTCAATCAAGCCATTGTTCGTTAACTTTTAATGAGAGAGGTGACGGGTAGTTAAAAACTTGGTATAATGCATATTTAATCCTCAATATTTATATATTCTATCAATTTGATCATAACGTAATTCAATTAAAATAAATTTAATCTCTAATTAGATGATGACTTCTATCACTACATGATTAGAGGATTTTTTAATTTTTATTTATTTACTCCAATGAATTTTTCATCCAATAAGGTGGTGACACATGTCCACCCTATTAAAGAGAGAAGATAAACGGGAGGAATGCATTAGGGGCATCAGACCTAGGACATTCAAAAGCCAAGCACGCCCGAACCACTCAGCTAAGCGGTTAATTATATAAAAAATAAATATCATTTTTTTAATGAATATATAAAAAACCAAAAATTTTCTTTAAATATGTGATTTGACAAGTGGTTATGATTTTTTCATCCATGCTTACAGCTCCATAATTTTTTCTCATTAACGGGAATAAGTTATAAAGGCTACTATGGTGTCTCAGTTTAATTCCTCCTTTGGTTTATCTCGTCTTTTATTTTTTATTTTAATTGAGTGATGACATGTGTCTTCAAATTGTTGGGTAAAAAATTATTAGATTAAATAAATAAAAATTAAGAAAATATCCTAGTTCTAAATATGAAAAGGAATCTATTCTACAGCCGTTTATGAACATTGAAGAAAAAAAAAGAATGTTGAAATTCCATAAATACCTCTTTTGAGAAGCTTGTTGAAGACGATGATCGGAGAGAAGCAGCTGATGAAGAAAACGGCCAAATGAAGTTCCTTGGTTTGCAGCCGCTATTCACTCACCTGAACTTAAACTAAGCTTCACCTACAACACAGAGGAAAGCAGTGCGAAAGGTAATGGAAAATTCTTTCTAGGAAAATATGAGGAAGCTCCGCTGCAATCACTTCAAAGAAATGCAAATTCGGCTTTGTTTGAAATTATCTCCCTTTACTGTTTTTAATGTTGGGTTGGGTCCTACCTGTCACACCCAATGTTAATTTTAAAATATAATTAATTTAATTAAGGACTAAAATAGACAGTTTAGAAAAATGTTAGATTACTTTTGAATGTTTGGGAAGCTCAAAGACTTAGCTATGAATTATCGCTTTTTTGATCAATAGAGAAAATTTTAAAAATGGATGGTTGAAAGGTGTTGAACTCCTCACTCAAGGAAACATATAACCGAACATATTCTCAAACGCTAAAAGAATGAACAATAACATTTTAAAAATAATAAACGAACATAAATACGATATTAAAAATTTAAACGAATATGAATCAAATTAATGTTTTTTAAATTAAATAAACGAAGGAAACAGTCTTGAATAAGACCAAAGTTGAATAAGACCTTCCTCCTCAATTTCCTCATCTTCTGGATATAATGCACAACTGAGGAAAGCAGTCTTGAGTTGGATTCTTTAAACGATCATAACTAAATTGTAATTGTTGGAACACTTCATCTTCGAATCCATTAAACTCATTTTGTGTAGACATAATTCTTTTAGTGCATTCGTCCATTCCGAGATGTCATCAATGCCCTTCATAAAGAAGCTATAGTAATTATTCCCAAGGGCAAACCTGCACAACGCTTAGCAATTGACCTTGCAATTGGTTCCACCCCTCGAATATTGCGAATATCACGACCCACCTTCTCCAAGGACAGCTTCCAGGCCTCTTCTTCCGTTAGAGGCTTCACTTTAATTACTCTACAGTCCACTTATCGACACACATCAGATGATCGAGTTGTCAACACTTACTCCCAACAGACGGTTCAGGGATTCCTACCTTATTAAGGGAAACTTTCTCCCATAAATCGTCCAAGATCATCACAAACCTACTCTTTTGCAACAATGTTTCATAGAGCATCCCTGCCCTTGTTATTTCATCTTCATCACCGGAAAAATCTACTCCAATTTTACTCGCAATGTCTTTCTGCAGTTTAGCAATACTCGTCTCCTTGGATACAATGATCCAAACCACAATATCGAAGTTCCCCGTCTCTTTTAAAGTTGGTTGTTATAACCTTCATGATGCTGTTTTCCCCACGCCACCCA